TAAGTCCTCTTTAAAGATTTGGAAGAATTCACTAGTGAATCCATCCGGGCCAGGACTTTTGTGCTTGGGGAGACTTTTTATTACCATTTCAATTTCCTTGATGGTGATAGGTCTGTTCAGGTATTCTAGGTCTTCTTGGTTCAGCCTTGGGAGTCTGTAGGAGTCTAGGAATTTATCCATTTCCTCGAGGTTTTGATGTTCCGTGGCATAAAGCTTCTCAAAGTACTCCCTGAGGATCCTCTGAATTTCTGTGGTTTCTGTTGTAATGACCCCCTTTTCATTTCTGATTCGGTTTATTAGGGTTTTCTCTCTCCCTTTCTTTGTGAGTTTTGCTAGAGGCTTATCGATCTTGTTAATTTTCTCGAAGAACCAGCTCTTGGTTTCATTGATCTTTCGGATTGTTTTTTGGGTTTCCATCTCGTTAATCTCTGCTCTGAGTTTTATTATTTCCTTTCTCCTGTTCGGGTTGTGCTCCTTTTTTTGGTCCTTCTCCAAGCTCTTAAGCTGTGAGGTTAGGTTACTTATGTGTGCTCGCTCCTCCTTCCTGAGGAATGCTTGTAGAGCTATAAACTTTCCTCTTAACACAGCCTTTGCTGTGTCCCATAAGTTTTGGTAAAAGTTATACAAGTTTTAATACATAAATTCTTTTTACTATATATGCTCTCAATGGAACGACCATCTCAGAATGCAACAGCTATGTGTACCTAGGTCGAGAAGTCCACATGACAAGTGACCTGGACCAGAGTTGCACAGGAGGAAGAGAGCAGCTTGGAACGCCTTCAAGAACGTCGAAGAAATAGCTAAGAGGACGAAGAACCTCCGGCTCCGGGCACATCTCTTTGATTCCACTGTTCTTCCTGCATTAACATATGCCTCAGAGACCTGGGCCCTACGCAAACAAGATGAGAACGCTGTTCAGGTCTCCCAAAGAAGAATAGAAAGAGCTATGCTTGGAATATCACGTTTCACTCAAATGAGAGAAAGAATCCGGAGTTCTGACAACCGTCGATGATCAAGAATCAGGGACGCTGTCTCATTTGCCAAGGTGTCGAAAATCAGATGGGCTGGTCACGTAATGAGATTTAAAGACGACCACTGGACTAGAGCTGTTACCGACTGGATTCCACGGGATGTCAAAAGACCGCGTGGCCGCCCACCTACCAGATGGTCAGACTTCTTCATCAAGATCGTGAACCATCGGTTTGAGGCTCTTCATGTTCCTGGACCGAACAGATGCCATTGCGCTACACTAGCACGCGACAGGGACAAATGGAGGCGTTACTGGCGCCCGCTCGAGCAAATCGACGACTAACGGGAAGTTAAGTGATTAAGTGATATATGCAACAATGCTGTGTATTTCTATTTTATGCACCTGTACAAGTAAATATAAATACATATGTCCACATATCTAGCTTCTAAAGACATATAAAAAAAAAGACCAGCCGCCAAGTGTATCTCCTGACATGCTTCTTAAATACTGGGTGTACTTCCAGGCAGAGAGGCTGTGAGTCCCAGCCCCAGGTAAGCTCTGACAGCCAGGAAAGCAGAGGGTGGGGACCATGGAATGCACAGCTCACTCGCAGGACACCTGGGCGTGCCCGTCCCTGCATGTCCCCCAGAATAGACCCGTGAAGATGTTCCCTGCTGGGGCAGCCCAAGGGTCCAGACCAAACTCCTTAGTAGCAAGGCCGTCTGCGCCAGCACAGCACCCGGCATCCAGTACCCACAGGCTTCCTGCAAGAGGGACCCTGCCAGCAAGAGCGCCCAGCAGACTGAAACGCAGGGGCTGAGCAGGCAGGAGCATTTCCCTGTGGTGCAGGCACTGACTCCGCAGCACTGAGCACCACTAGATGTCCCACCTACCCCCTCACCCCCCAATAAAAACCCACAAGGACTCTGCCAAGAGCCTTACAGCCTGGCTGCTTTGAGGGCTGGGAGTCACAAGTGTTTGTTGACTTTTTCCCAGAGAAGAGGCTGGCTCTCAGAGCAGTGAGCTAATCTCCAGCTTACTGCTCTCCTTGCCAAAACAAACATCTTCCAGTGAGTGCTGGAGGGTCTCTGATCCCTGAGGGCTACCTAAAGGAGCCTGGCCCCCTGCCTGAGATGGTGACAAATGTCCCCTCTGGCTGCGCTCTCAGCAGAGCACTCTGGAGCCAGCTGCCTGTGGAGCACGCCACCCCCCAGCCCCCTGCCCAAGCAGCGCCTCAAAGCCGGCAGAGGCACCTTCTCTCTCTTGCATCCACCCCACTCATGACCGGCTCTGCAGACCCCGTTACTGGCGCATCCTCAGAGGAGATGCAGGTCCAGAGCAGGCTCTGGGGCCCGTGAGGTGTGGAATCATTCTTCTCTTGACACCTCTAACTCCACCCTGTACCATTCCATCATCCAGGCCTGGAGCACAAGTAGGGGGATGGGTGGCAGAGATGTCTCCAGGATCCGCATCCCAATATGCACAAGAGAGAGTCACTCTAGTACAAAGATGCACATCCTCGTAAGCGAGAGAGAGAGAGAGAGAGAGAGAGAGAGAGAGAGAGAGAGAGAGAGACTGAGTTGGTCTCTCCCAGTAATCCAGAGAGAAAGAGTCACTCTCAGTTCAAAGATGCACATCCCAGTAAGTGAGAGTGTGAGAGTGTGTGTGTCACTCTCAGTACAAGGACGCACATCCCAGTGAGAGAGAGAGAGAGAGAGAGAGGGAGAGAGTTGCTCTCAGTATAAGAATGCACATCCCAGTAAGCGAGAGAGAGAGAGAGAAAGAGAGAGAGAGACGCTCTCAGTATAAGAATGCACATCCCAGTAAGCATGAGAGAGAGAGAGAGTCACTCTCAGTACAAGGAAACATTCCTGAAAACACAGAGCACTGACTTCTGCCCAGCACCCTACTCTTCTCTCTTTTTTTTTTTACACCTGGAGATGCACAGGGGCTAACCCTGGCTCATGCACTCAGGAATTACTTCTGGCAGTGCTCAGGGAACCATATCAGATGCTGGGAATTGAACCTGGGTCGGCCGCGTGCAAGGCAAACGCCCTACCCACTGTGATATCACTCCAGCCCTCCTTCTCTTTTTGAAGCTTAAAGTGAGGCCATGAAAGATTCCAGGGCACGGGAGGGAGAGTACAGCAGATAGGGCGCTTGTCTTGCATGCAGCTGACCTGAGTTTGACCTCCAGCACCCCATATGGTCCAAGCTCTGAGCATTACCCAATGTGGCCCCAAAACCAAAACAATAAAATAAAAAGATGCATGGCACTGACAGACAGACAGACAGACAGAAAGACACACACACACAGCACCCACAAATGAACAAAGCAGAATGTCAGTCCCTGCAGCCGCTGGCAGACACACAGGGCCCTGTCGCTGGAAGCGGCATACACATGGTCAGCAGGGCCTGTGGAGGACCCCGTGCACCCCTCAAAGCATTCAAGCGGGTGACCACTGGGCACACGGCCCACTGACCATTGGAGTAGGATGGGGCAGCTCTGCCTCCTTGCTCCACTTCCCAGGCCTGCCGGGTTCCCGTCCCTGCAGCCGTCCCAGGCTCGCTGGGGGACAGGCCAGGCATGCAGCATGGGGGATGTATGTGGGCAGTGGGCAGAGCAGAGAGACGTCTGTCCTGCAGCCATACTGCAGGGCATAGGCAGGGCAGCCGAATCTCTGGTTGTACGCCATAAATTTCTCTTAAATCAGAAAAGCGTCTGCAGAGTGTAGTGAAAACGCCATGGCCCAGGCAAAGGGCTCACAGGAAAGCGGGAAGAGAGAAGCGAGTCTATTTCCGTTCTTTCACGAAACCTGTTGGTGCTAGGGAGGTTACTGGCGGGGCTGGATTCCAACCGTGGACCCCTGGGGGTCCCCCAAAGCACAGCCGGGGGTGATCCTCCTGCTTCCCATTCAAGCCCCTAAGGTCTGCACAGTGCTCCCAAGCTGGAAAGTCACAGAAATAAATGAGAGATGAGGCAAATAAAGGGCCAGAGAGATAGTACAGGGGTGAAGGCACTGGCTTTGCATGCAGACAACCTAGGTTCAATCCCCTGCACCCCATATGGCCCCCAAGAACCTCACCAGGGGTCACTCCTGAGCACAGAGCCAAGAATTGCTGTACCCCTGGGGATGGCCGAAAATTGGGAAAATATACCAAAAAGGCGGGGAGGCAAATACACGTGCTCTCACTTCTTCCTGGCTATGTGACAGGCCTAAACGGGGGCGCTGAGATCCAGGGGTCATTTCAGAAGCCCAGGACATTCTCACGGCGGGAACAACTCTGCCCCAGTCACAGGGACCTCGTGGGGGAAGCCACCCCTGTAAGCCAGCCAAGACCCCACCTGCCTCTCGCAGCTCTGTGCCCCTCGGGCCTGCTGGTCGCTGTCCACAGCACGGGAGTGTCTGCACCTTCACTGTGTCCATGACAGCAGAAAGTTCGGGACCGACCCAGGCTGGCCAGACGCACAATGATAACTCAGAAGCGCCAAGGCAGCCAGGCCCATGGGCTGCCCTGCCTGCACCTGACCTGTCCACCACATGGTCAAGCCGGCATCGGCCTGCCCCACCTTCCATTGCTACACCCATTCTGCCCATCCAGTCATCTCCCACCCACCATCTACCCCGCCCACTAACTGTTCCACCAATCGAATCCAGCATCTGCCTGCCCCGCCTAACATTGCCTTACCCACCTTCTACCCAACCAATCACCTGCCCCATCCACCCTCTGCCCTCCCACCACCTGCTCCACCAATCAAATTCAGCACCTGACTGCCCAGCCTGCCATTGCCACGCCTAGATTCTGCCCAACCAATCACCTGCCCCATCCACCCTCTGCCCGCCCACCGCCTGCTCCACCAATCAAATCCAACACCTGACTGCCCCACCTACCACTGCCACGCCAATATTCTGCCCAACCAATCACCTGCCCCATCCACCATTTGCCCGGCCACCACAAAGACCGCCCATCATCTGCTCCACCAATCAAATCCAACACCTGAATGCCCACCTGCCATTGCCACGCCTAGATTCTGCCCAACCAACCGTCCACTACATCCACCATCTGCCGGCCCATTAACTGCTCCGCCAATCACCAGCAGATCCACACAGATTCCGCGCACCATATTCCATACCCGCCTTCTGGCCCACCAGTCATCTGCAGCCCACACATGCCCCACCCACCACAAGCCACGCCCATCACGTGCCACACCCACCTCCTGCTCTACCAATCATCTGCCTGCTCACTGCCTGCCATTCCCACCGTGTGCTTCGCCCACGCCTCCCACGCCTACTCCTCCAGTGAATGCTTTCTGCTGAGGACAGCGCCTCCTGACCTCGCCTGCTCTTGGACAACGGCCTCAACCAGGGTCGTTAGCAGAAGCTACGGTCACGTGAGCCTGAAACAGGACGGAACTCAGGGAGCTCTCTCACCAGGGCCTATGCCAGGCGCCCCGCCCCCCCCCATAATCCTGGCACCTGTGGTCTGGATGACAGGTGCCGTGGTTGGAGCCGTGCAGGGATGAAGGGGCCATGTGACCCCCAGGCCTCGCCTGCAGTGCATGCAACAGACAGAACGCGTCTGGGGGCTCCTTCCTGGGCAAGACCTGGCCCTGCTGTGCTCACCGGCCAGGAAGCCTGCCTTGGTCCTCGCTGAGAATCCCTGGCTGGCTGCTTGCTGCCCACAGCCTGCCAGGTCCACCCTGTGGCCCCACGCAGCAGGAGAACCCTGGGCCGTGCCTCCAAGCAGCAGCTGTGGCTACGCCCAAGGAGGGCCCCGGCCGGCACAGGGCACCTGCTCCAAGAGCAGCTCTGGGGAGGGCTTATTTGCACAAGCTGGTGGGTGGGGCGGGGTGACCCCAGGTTCTCCCCAAGGTTTCCACCAACACAGCTAATCAATACCACCTGCGGGTAAGGACTTGGCTGCAGTGCCAGGCCATCACGTTCCTTCTAATTATTTAGGGGGCGGGAGATTTTTATAGGTAGAGCTCAGGGCTGGCTGTCTTTATCAATCCCAAGGAAGCCTTAATCCCCGCAGACATTTGGATATGTCAGACAGGCATTACTACGTCGGAATAAACCCCCAGGAAGGACTGTGCAATTCACTGCAAAAACAAAAACAAAAGGGGGAACCCAAAACAAGTTATTAAGTCCTAACTGAGCAATTTGCAGTGCACTTCACCTCCAGCTAATTAAAATGTAATCAGGGTTCCCTCAGCAGTTTGTCTTCAGAAGAGAAATCATGCCAAGAGACCACAAGGAAAGGCTTTCACGGAAATTGGCTTGGTCTAAACTCCTGCTTTAGCCCGCAGAAACTGTAAAACAAATCACAACAGCTGACAATTCAATAAAAAAAAGTGTGTGTGTGGGGGGGGGGATGCTTCAGCTTGGTTTGGGGCGGGCAGGCCACGCAGCAGTGTGTGTGTGTGTGTGTGGGGGGGGGTGCTTGCAGCTGAAACCTGAGAGAGCTGCCAACCAGGTGCCAGCCAGCCCAGGAGGACAGGCTCCCTGAGGCCTCTCTCTGGAGCCCAGGGTGGGGCAGGCGGACACGGAGAGCTGCCAACTCCAGCCGCATGCCACGTCAGGCTTCTCAAGAACAAACAGAAGCGCACCGGGCAAACTTCACGGAGGCTCCCTGGCGGGCCAGCGGGGCCACGGGCCTCCGGGGCAGGGAGGCAAGAATGGGTAGGAGGCCAGGGAAAGGGCCAGGGAGATGCGCCCCCACAGAGCGCTGCCCTACCTGGGGACCAGGGAAGTGCCCCCTCACTCCCCCCGTGAGAGGCACGCCTGATTTATCCCGAAGGACTTGGTGGGAAGTGGGCGCTTCGGCGCTCGGCGGGTCCCCAGGGTGAGAAGTTGGGGCCTGGAGCAGGTGAGGGCAGAAACAAGTCAGACACCAACAAGCCCGTGGTCGGAGGAGATAAAGCGAGGGGGTGGGGACGCGACGGCAAAAGTCAGGGGCCCACCCTGGGGATTCCCTGTCTTGCGCTGGCACCGCACCAGGCGCTAAGGCCACTGCGGGGGTCCCTAGATCCGGAGCCAGGCCGGCCGCCCCGCTTCGGCACCACGCACCTACCCCCAGGCGCGCACAACTCCCAGACCCCAGCAGGGGCGCGGGAGGCTTGAGTCCCGGGACGCTCGGCCGCCAGCAACACCCGCTCTGGGACGCGCCCGCAGGGCCGGGGTAAGGCAGCCCACACTCCAGGACCAGAACAAGGTGTGGGCGCCGCCACCTGCGACGAGCGCGCGGGGGCTGGGGGGTCCCGGGGATCACGGGACTCGCTCCGCCAAGGCGTCCCGCGCGCTCCAGCCGCGGGAAAGTCACCAACGCTCCCGCCGCGCCGGGAAATTCCCACCGCGTCTACCCCGGGGAAGAAGGGGCGCGCGGGACACGCCCGGGCATCTCCAGGAGGGGGGGGGCGCAGCGGGGTCTGCCAGGACTACTCCTCGGCACCCCTGTCCGCCCCCACCCCCCGGGGAGCTGCAAGGAGTTTGAGGCGCGGGGCCTCGCATACCTGGCCGGGATGCGCGTGAGGTGCAGGCTCAGGCACCTGGAGGCGCAGCGCGCACGCCACACGCCCCCGGTCCCCAGTGACTCGTCCAGCCGCCGCACAGCGCCGATCCGGGGCCCGCGGCCAGGCCGCCCCCGCAGGCCGCCAGCCAGAGGCAGAGGGTCAGGGAGGAGCCGGGCGCCGCGGCCACCATGGTTGCGGGTCCCCGCTCCGCGCTGCGGCCGCCGTGACTCGGCCGCAAAGTTGGACCGCGCGAGTCCCGGGCCGCGCGCGCCCCGCCTTCCCGCGCGCCCTCGACGGGCCGGACGGAGGCGCAGGCCCCATTGGCTGCCGCATTGGCTGCCCGGGCCGAGGGACAGCGTGGGCGCGTCTAAGGGGCGGTGCGAGCGGATCCTGGGTCCCCGCACGCGGGCGCCTTCCCGGCCGCGCCCACGGCACCTTCCGGGTGGAGTCAAGTGTGAGCCCAGGCTGGAGGGGACCCAGGGGGCCCCCAAGGCGCCCCATTCCCGCCCCTAAAACCTTCCCTTGGGCTTGGTCCAAGAAGACTTGAAGGTCCTGGAACCCTCACCTCCGCTCCCCACCTTCCTCTCTCCCTTCTCCTTCCCTGTGCCCCAGCCCTCTGCTGCCTTCCCCTCTCCCTCAGTTTCCCCTGGAACGCCCCTTCCCCCAGGCAGCGTTTGCAAAGGCGTGTGCACACCCTTTCCAGAGCCTCCACCGCGTGGCCATCTGCGTCCTCGCCTTCCTTCTGCAGAGCGCTCCTCCCGACCACAGAGCTCAGAGAGGAAGACAGAAGACATTGACCAGCCCGCCCAGGCCTTTCTCACACCCAGTGGCCTGCACTGCCTACCCGCAATGGTGCTCTCCAAGCACGAGCCCTTCTGTGCATCCCAGGGAGCCAATCACCAAGCCTAGTATAGACAGCCTGATACCATCTGGAGAGGAAATTCAGCATAGCACAGGGAAGGCGGTCACTCGGGTGGGCAAGGACAAGGCCCCGCATGGATGCCTGTCCAGCACAGCACAGCCGTGCCCAGGGTCCAGCCTGCTCAGGCCACCGCAGGGACATGCAGGGCAAGTCTCTTCACAGGCAGAACACCCCTCCAGCTCCCGCTGCTCCTGCCTCTCCCCCTCATCCACCATCCTCCCCACCCTAGGGCACTAGGAACCTCTGAGGTCCTTATAAAGATCCGAGCCAGGCGCCCTCTCTCAGAGAGACAGATTCAATCTGTCTATGGTAGAAGACTGGGCTCTCAGCGTTCGTTTCCGTGGCTTGGTTGTGCTCATGACTGCAGGGCTCAGTGCTCGGGGATGGCTCCTGACAGTGCTCCGAGGAGCAGGAGACTGGGGCCAGGAAGCAAATGCTGCCTCCCATGCACAGAGCACCCTCCCAGCCTGTGAGCTTTCGCCTTCGGGGCTCCGGTGTCTCGAGGCTAAAAGCCTCCTTAGGGTCCAAGGCGGGAAGCCAGGGAACAACCATTGTTTGGAAGAGCCACAGCATGGGATCGAAGTGCAAGCTCAGGTCTCAATAGCGCGGGCTGTGGCGGCCTCCGATCCAAGCCCCTTTCTTTGAGATGTGCGTTAGCCGAACCTGGGGCTTGGCTCTGTCCATCTCGTCATAAACACCCAGACCTCCTTGCTTTTTCCTCCATCCGTCTCTGGCCAGACTCACTTGGGACCTTTCCAGACACTCAGTCTGTCTTTCTAAGGCCTTCTGGGCAATCCTGGCAAAGAAGAAGGGCCATAACTGGCCTCTGAACTGTCTTTTTCAGAGGACAGATGGGCATCTGGCCCTCCAGAACTGGGGGAAATGCACACACACACACACACACACACACACACACACACACAAGTAATTTGGTGCCACTGCTGACCCCTATATTCAGGGCGTTACCGAGGATTATGGGGCCCAGGAAGGAGACGGAGGGTGTCACATATGGAGTCTTGCTCCCTAGACTGGCATATTTTCTCAGAAGCAGGAATTCACGTCCGAGAAAGCCCTGGTGGGACGCAGCAGCGGCAGCAGGGACCCAGCCTACCCCCTCCACAGTCCCCCGTGAGGGTGCCCCAATGTCGGGGCAGAGCGCCCCTCAGTCTGCTCCCCAAAAAGTGTGCTTCAGCCCCGTCTTCCTGGACACCCCAGAGAAGAAAAGGAACTGAGAAGCCAGGAGCACGAGAAGGAAGAGCCACAGGCCCTGGGCTTCTCCCTCCTGCCCTCTCTCCCGCCACGTCTGCAGGTTAGTACAAAGGTGATGCAACTGAACCAAACCCATCGCTTGTGGCCACGGCCATCATGGCCCGCTGCAAGGCAGCCTTTGGACACAGGGAGATTTCTTGTTTCTTCTTTATTTGTTTTTGAGACACACCTGTTAGAGCTCGGGGCATACTTCTGGCTCTGTGCTCAGGGTGGTGGCTGACGGTGCACAGGGGATCCTGTGGAGTGGCCGGAATGGAATTGGTACAAGGTTTTTGTGCATGCTCTTATTTCCGACAAGGAAAGAGATCTTGCAAAGCAGATATTCCCCGAAAGGACCACATCAGCCAGCAACGCAATGAATAGCCTCTTCGGAAACGGTGCAATGCAGGTTTGTGTGTGCACCTGTAGGGCACCAGTCACCAGTCACCAGCCAGCCGGGATCTTTCAAGAGGGATCTTCACTAAGTGCAACAGTATCCAGGTTGAGATGTAGCAGAGGTGCCTCTGCCAGTGACTGCACCAAGGTCCTGAGCCAGGAGAAAACCAGTTTCCAAACGCCTCGAAGTAGGTAGGTTGTCCAGCAGCTGGCTGGCCAGCTTCTACTGCTTCCTAGGAGTTCCCTTCCCATTGCCTTTTACCCCAAATCACCAGCAATGAGACTGACGTGTTTGGTGCCTAGATTCGGCAGGAACTCTAGTCTGTATCAGCATCTCTAGAGAATTCCCAGGGGATTCTCAAGGGGCCAGAGGGGAAGATCATGAAAGGGGGACAGAATATGACAGCCCTCCCCCAATCGTGAACGACTTTGTCACGGTGTATCTCACCGTCATTAAATGGGGGAAAAATAAAGGATTTAAACAAAATTAAATTTAAAACTAAAATTTGAATTAAACAATTAATTAAAATAAAATTAATTTTAATTAAAAAACTAAAAATTAAAAGCTCACAATAAAAAGTTTTAATTTTAAAAAAGATTTTAAATTTTTGTTTTTTGGGTCACACCTGGCGATGCTCAGGGGTTACTCCTGGCTTTGCACTCTGGAATCTCTCCTGGCAGTGCTCAGGGGACCATATGGGATGCTGGGGATCGAACCCGGGTCGGCCACGTGCAAGGCAAACACACTACCCGCTGTGCTATCACTCCAGCCTGAAGATTTTAAAATTTTAAAATTAAGATTTTAAAATAAAAAATTAAAAAGCACTAAATTTTAAAGAGTTAAATTCACATCTAAAAATGACTAGGACCCAAGCATCAGGACAGGGCAGGGACTGGAAGGAAAGTGGGATGAGGCTGTGGGGGATGGGCAGACAGAGCAGGCCACTGTCCAGGCGTCTGCACTGAGGGGGACTCTCGTGGCCCTGGTGCTGGATGGAAAGCACCCCAGAGGATGCCCTTTCTCTGTCCCTGGTCCCCGAGGGGCACATGGTGCCTCGTGGCCCCCTCCTGGGGTCCCTGCAGCTCAGCCCCAGCCTCCTCTCAGAGCTCAGGGATCTCTCCCGAGGGTGCTGGGGAACCCCGCAAGGTGCCAGGACCCCAGTGGGCTTGGCTGCTGGCACTGTCCCACTCTCTGGCAATCCTGTCCGGGTCTCGACAGGATTGAAACGTTGCTGGCTCGGTCCCAACCTTCCATTTATAGAAGCCCCAGGCCAGGCAAATCAGAGGAGACCTACACGAGAGGGTCTGGGCTAAATCTGAAAGGACAGACCTTTACACTTGGCACCTCTCAGCAGCCTACTTGGATGTGGAACAGGTAATGCGTTGTTTACAGAAAATAATATATCTATGGGCCAGAGACACTGGAGCAGGCAAAGTGCTAGCCTTCCACACAGACAACCCCGTTCCGACCCCCAACGTGTCGCTTATCCCCCAAACGCTGTCCTGTGTGATCCCTGAGCACTGAGCCAGGAGGAAGCCCTGAGCACTGCCAGATGTGTTCCCCATTCCCCAAAGTGCCACGATGAAAATGTGGCACAGTGACACTTTGAAAGGCATTTTTAAACAAATGCTCTTCAAACCAGCATACTTGTGTTCTGATTTTCGTTCCTAAACATGGAAAGGACTGACAGGTGCTCTTCATAAATACGGATGCTTTGTTCTGTTTAGAAAGCTCATGGACCCTCAGGAATTACTCCCGGTGGTGCTCATATAGGATGATGGGAATCGAACCCGGGTTGGTCCTACCCGCTGTGCTATCTCTCTAGCACCCTCTCTTTCTTTTCTTTCTCTTTCCTTCCTCCTTCCTCCCTCCCTCCCTCCTTTGTCTATTTCTCTTTCTTTCTTTCTTTCTTTCTTTCTTTCTTTCTTTCTTTCTTCTTTTCCATTCTCTCTCTTTCTCTCACTCTTTTTCCATGTTCCTTGAACCTTGGAAATAATAGAATGAAAGAAGCATCAGGAAAAGGTCACAGGCAGCTTTTGGCAGG